TTTATAGGTTTTTTACATAACAACCGTACTGATACCACAGAAGGCATCTCCATGCTGAGCGATGTCATGATACCTTTCGCCGGGCACCCTCGCTCTGCTGTGACAGTTGCTTCTGTTAATGACCTGGGGTACTATTTTAAATTTAAATCAAATTCCTTCTCGCTGACAATTCCTTTCACAATTATTTGCGCCATCTGAGAATGAGGAGTAGTAACTTTAGAATTAACCAATAATAACCTATAGGTAACGTTATCAAATGCAACTGTTAGATGCCATTAATATTCGGCGCAATCATCAGATGTGACTCAAATCAGGATACTGATGACATGACGCTCGGCAACCAAGACATCAAGTTTGCTTATCTCCGCTGTGCATTAGTACTGTAGTCGGATATGCAATTACTGAAGGGATTCTTTTTTAGGCTACTGAACCTGTTAGACTAAACTATATAACCTATATTTCTATGGGCCCTATGGAAAAAGGCTTGTGCTACGCGAGCTATGAGTTTCCGCTTGATCTGAATGCCACAGATAAAAGTATTGATGACGTGAAGTTGAACCATTCACTTTAGTTTCGAGATATTTCTCCAGCTTCTAAGTCACATATGTATGTGTCGGTCAGAATAGCTTTCACAGGCTATAGTCGAATGAAAAATCGAAAAACTGACAGAGGGTTGGTGATGATGGCCACTTGTTTCCAACTTGAAACTACTCGTTTTGATGAAACAGAACACCAGAATATCACTAAATAATGATAGTGTAGCGTTTTTCTGGGTACTGTTGGGTGTGGATTAAAACACTCGATTCCACAAAAGGAAATGCACTAATTTATTCTAAACACAACACACCTGGCTTTAACTTAACTAGATAGAACATTTATGTACACCACTATTTATGTCTGACTACTTATTTACGAATTATTATGTCGCGCCATTCACTCAACTCTGCTTTCCTCTTCCGGCCGTCGGCTTATATACTCAGTATCGCCGGTACTCGAGGTCACTCTCGCACCTCGCTTAAGGAAAGTCCCTGGCGCGGTTCATAACAGATGTCGCTAGGAGTATCACTCATTCTTGTTACACTGCCCCCTCCCTAAAGTCATTCCGTCCCGGAATGATTCTACTGGTGGTGGATGTCGATATCGGCACGACTGAATGACAGCACACCAGGAATCGAATGCCTGCATACCGGAAGATTACCACAAGCATGCTTCGGATGATTCTCTAGTCCAGGTTGTCCAGTCCACATGCCAGGTTAGGTATTACCAGTTTTCTCAGGTTCTCGGCAAGCAACACTTCTCTAAGAGAACACAAAACGCTTCAGACATCCTCATAACTCGGTTTCTGATACGAAGCTTTCTTGGTAACCAGATAGAAGGTCTTTCGGTTCGTTCCCTCTTCAGTTATCTGGACTACTTCTCCGATTTCCGGGTTAGATTGACGCAGCTCGTGCACTCTTCCAAACTTCCTGAGAAAGACCTGTGCTATAGCTCTCGACATTTTAAGCCACACAGTGTGCCAAAGCATACTATGGTGAAGTGGTAAACTGATCTTGCTGTACCTCACATGCCACGCCATACCGACTCCTATAGCCATTAGCATGGCGGGCCATAAATTGGTCAAATGTCATGTCCAGTTCTGGTTGGATTTGCCTCACCGCCGCATTTTCGTTGTTTCCACGATAAGGGGCAAGTCGGTTGAAATATACAACTCGGGCTTAACCGCGTGGTGCCTTCAGAATCCTGTAGAGAACATCGTTGATGGCTTCCGGAACTTTATATGGCCCGTTTCAGGATGATTGAAGTTTAGGCGTCAGCCCTTTTCACTTCCTTGGGGCGTAAAGCCAAACCGTGTCACCGTGCTCTGGTGTTTGGCATTAGCGTCAAAAGCTTCCTTCATCCGGTCGCTGGCACCTTGAATTGAAACACGAACCTGGCTATGGATGGCTTCCATTCTTTTACGCAGCTTACTTACGTAATCTTCTCAGGCAATATCAGTTCCTGGTGGACAGCTAAACTTTAGATCGCCTGGAAGATGAATTTCTCTTCCCATAACTATTCCTGTGCTTTCATAGATCGACGACCGGTAAGCCAATAAGAATAGGTGAAGAATAATATCCCAGTCTCTTTGATGGTTAGAGACTATCTTAGCCAATGACCGGTTAATGGTCATATTCATGCGCTCCACCATTCCATCTAACTGCGGGTGTTAGGCAGTAGTCCTGGTCTTCTTAATCCCAAGGATTTGACAGATATTTTGGAACAGATTTGACTCGGAATTGCGCCGTTGGTCCAAATGCAACTCCAAAGGTACACCAAGTCGACAGATCCATTCCTTTACTAAAGCATCGGCTACTGTAGAGGCTTCTTGATTTGGCAGAGCGTATGCCTCAACCCACTTGCTGAAGTAAACCATTACCATAATGATGTATTTATTCCCTGTTACATTTTCTGGAAAGGGTCCCGCCACATCATTAGAAATCCTTTCAAGGGAGCTTCCTACGTTGTATTGGCGCATCGAAGCTCTTGGTTTCCTTTGCGGTCCATTACTTGCCGCGCACACAACGCATTTTCTGCACCAGTATTTTACGTCCGCCTTGCTACTGACACAGTAAAATCTTCCCTTCGCTTTTCCAAGGTTTTTGTAACTCCGAGATGACCTTCTGGCACACCGTAATGGACTTCTTCTAGCAGGTAAGGCATCCCACGTATGGGGATAACGATTTGCCTTCTTTCCTCTTTGCCATCGGGGTCCACCATTTTACACAGTAAGAGTCCGTCGTCCATAACTAGAAAATTCCATTATGCCCAATATGATTTTATGGTAGGGGAATACTTGGCAAACTTCCTTCCAGGCACGTTTCCGTTGTTCTTTCATCCAGTTCCGAATTACTTGAAAATCGGTGTCGCCATCTTGGTCATTAGTAAGGTCTTCATTTCGTCAAGTATCACTAACGAAAGTGGTTCTTAATACTTGGACATCTTTCTCCCCTGCCCGCTGGCAATGCTTACAATCCTCTAAACAGCGTGTTCTAACGTGCCCTATTTTTTCACATTTCCAACATTCCAACTTGCTGCTCCGGCGGCGACGTTCACCATCAAGTTCCTTAACAATATGCGTGACAGACTCTTTGAACTTGTTACCTTCCGGTACCATCTGGCGGAGTCGGACCTGGCTTTTATTTGTGTTTTTAGCGGCTTCGAATTATAAGGCCCGCATCTACTAGCTTAGGTGGATGTGCTAGTAGTAAGGCTTGCCTCATTTCTCCTGCAAGAACTCGCCTGACTTCTGGAAACGATTCTTTAGGTGAGTATGGTATACATGTTCTAAATGTGGCATATCGCATCTCCAAATGCCCTACTAGCTGTTCGGAGACCTATTGCTCTTCGGGTGATATTCTTTGAAGAATAGCTGCAGCATCTCCTCGCAGGGCCAAAGTGAGTACAGTTGCCTTTTCGGTCGATGACCAACCATTTACATTCGCGGCTGCCTCAAACTGTAGCCGGTAGACATTCCAAGGCGTTGTACCATCAAATTGCGGCGGTTTCATTCGCAGATGATCAGCTGACCCAACAGAAGCTCCAACTTCACTTTATTTTTCCAACGAAAGTCCACGCTGTCCTTCGTCGATGGTCTTGATGTCTAAAGCGGCAAACCTGCCTTGCACTTCTTGAATTCTGTCCTCCTAAGTTTCTAAAATCCGTTTTTCTAATTCGCAAGATTTTTTCATAATTTCATCTTCCAATTATTTTTTTAATTTGGCAGTATTTTCCAAAAACGTCTCTTCTAATTTGGCTGTTCTTTTGTGTAACTCCAAGAGTATTCCTTCTAGGTTGACACAATTTTCCACGAGCTTTCCTTCTAGGTTGGCACAATTTTCCACGAGCCTATTGTCTAACTTGGCTGAGTTTTCTAAAAGATCGGCACAATTTTCCACGAGCTTTCCTTCTAGGTTGGTAGCAATTTTACACGAGCCTTCCTTCTAGGTTGGCAAAATTTTCCAAAAGCCGTTTTTCTAGCTTGGTTGAATTTTCTAAAAGGTCGGCACAATTTTCCATGAGCTTGTTTTCTAACTAGGTCAAAGGTTTTGCAGCATTTAACCAATATCCCCTGCACCGGTAAAAATGAAATTATCCGGTTCCTCGCCTTCCTCAATCAGTGCTTTACACAGCCGTGCTTGCAATTCCGCTTTCTTTCCATCCGCGTCGCACTCCCTATTATCCAGGTCTCTTTTTAAGTCGGCAATTTTCGGGCCATTCTTCCTTCACTAGTCGTCCGATTTATTTTCACTAAATGTCCAATAATCCACAGCCCCACACCTGCCACCAATAAAGCGTTTTTCTGGGTTCTTTTGGGTGTGGATTAAAACACTAGATTCCACAAAAAGAAATGCACTAATTTATTTAAGACACAACACAACTGACTTTAACTTAACTAGATAGAACATTTATGTACAGAACTATTCATGTCTGACTTATTTACGAATTATTATGTTGCATCATTAACTCAACTCTGCTTCCCTCTCCCGGCTGTCGGCTTATATGTATACTTCGCATCGCCGGTACTCGTTGATTCGAGAAAGTTCCGGTATAAAATATAGAGGCCAGTCCAGAAACTTCAATATCACTCTCGCACCTCGTTTCAATGCTGGAAAGTCCCTGGCGTGGTTCCCAAAAGATGTCGTTAGTAGTGTCACTCATTCTTGTTACAATAGGAATTTTTCGTAACATTTTGAATCGTAGCGAGAAATTTACTTGAAGATCTGTGCAACTTTTGTTCTGAGACATCTCGTCACTATCTCGTTATTCAATGGTAATGCGCTTTAAACCATCTTAGAGAGAAAAGTCGGCCCAAAATCGAAAACAAATTATATAAGCGTTAGTGCTAAAATAAGGAAGTAACTTGCTAACTAAGTGGCGCAGCTTAGAATTTTTTAAGTATACGGAAAGTCAATTAAGCGTGCCTTCGATAGATTTGCGTTTTTGGATGTTGTGTAAAATGCTTACATACCTTTGAAACAGCCAGTAATATTTTCGCCGTCAATAGAATCGTCTCCAGTCCTTTTTCCTTTATACATCTCAAAAGTCGTTAATTTGTCAGTAAAGCCTTTAAATTCTGACTGTTTTTCTAACTCCGTATCATAGACCTTAAAACAACATAAGCATAGATTTAAAATCGATAGTTACAAGGAAAGTGTGTAAATCAGGACAGTAACCTACTCATCTTGTTTAAACCACCGGTCTCTGAATACAATGTGAATTCATGGAATCATGAACATCATAAAAGATACGCATATTTAAAGGAGCAAGATATGGGTTGCTAGGTTCCAAACCGTGATATCTCCTCACTCCAGTAGCAAGTTTGGCAGGAGTGTCAATTTAAGATCAAAGTTCCTGTACCCTTAAACGTTTTTAAATAAACTCCCCTCTTTGACCAATCTTAGTGTGAACAGTGCTGTAACCAAATCAAGAATGTCAATTATTTTGATGAATTACCTTTAGCGTCTGTACTTGCTTTACGAATTCGTCATCGCCCATTTGAGGTCCTTCCTATAATTAAACTGATTTAGTACGATGCCCCCTCAAATATAAGGAGTGTTCTTTTTGAATTTTGTAGTCTGGGTCATTGTTTATACTCCAGTCTACTTGTAATGCACATGCACACATTAAACAAGTAACGTGAAAGTATTTTAAAAATACGTAATTCAATTTAGTTGCCCATTCACTATTTCCTTTGAAGCAGTCACTGACTTTCAACCGATTATTCTATTGAACCACTGAAGCTAGATTGAAGTGATTGTGGTGATGCTGATGTGTTTGCCATTACGTAACGTGATTAATAAAGTCTTTCAAGAAGAACGCTTGCATATTCTGAAACAAACCCCTATGGAAGCATAAAACTTGGTCCACCAATCAAAATCACGTGTGTCTATTATATCTTCTTGAGGAAGTGGCTCATATGTCGTAGCCTCTGACGCAGACCCTTGCAGCTTATTGAGCAGAAATTTGGGACGAAACAGACTCCACAGACTGAATTTACTTTTGTTGTCTTTTGATGCATTAGTCATAGCAAGGGTTTCGTCTTCGTTGCTCTCATCAGAATTATCTGGAATGTATGCAATTGTGCTAGATAAAATTGGAAAAAAACATATGATATATGTGCATTAATCTGCGTTAGCCACAATACATCAGACAATCGTATTATTCCATGCGTTCCAACTGCTCTTTGCCAAAAGATGGTGCAGCACCAGCAGATATTGTGCGCCTTCCGTTATACTAGCGCTTATCTAGCGATCACGGCATAGGTATCACCACTGCAGTGACTTGTTGATGCTGTGCCATCTTTTGGTACAAAGCATTGTAAGCTCACATAATTACACGATTGTCTCATGTTCTATGACTAGCGCAGCATGGAGTTAACATGTTTGCATCACGTTGATGTAATTTCGTATTTAAAACACGTGGAATATCGGCTAAATTATGGCATAATTCAGTAGGGTTTTTCCATATTGCCCTTCACGCCTTGATTTGAGGCAGTTGTATACAAGGGAGGTTAATAATGTAAACCAGTGGGATAGAGTAGTAGCGTTCAGCGGAAGGTAGCACTCCTATAACGGTTTAGCGGAAAGCATCATTTATTAAGCCGCAAGCGATTCTCGCCACTAAAAACGTTTATCCAGAGTACGGATTGAGTTGTGACTCATTTTCACTGACCACGACATCTAGTATTGTTCCAACAAGCACTTTCAATAACGTAAGCAGGATGTTCTGAAGAGTGATTGATTGGAAGAATTCTAGAGTCTAAAAGTTTTTGAGCAGTTAAAGTAATTACAATTATTTATTTACCTGAAAAATATAGCTGAAGGGTTACATTACGTTAAAAATATTCAAACAATAAAGGTGCACGCCCATTGAGGGTAAGAGAAACGGAGGGAAGAGAAGATATTTGAAGAAAAGCGACGTTAAATCTTTTGATGGTGCCGTTAGGTTATTGCTTGATAACGAGTACAGACTGGCCTCATGATAAGACTGGAACAATTTTATAGGGAATTTATTCTATTGCTGTTTTTCGTCAGTGAAAATTTGTGATACAGTAAACAGGTTACGAGAAATTTAACGGTAATGATATTTTTGCATATAATGGCTAAGCTAGCAACCTCCTTTTGCCTTGATGGTTCTGGGAGCGAAGGTCAGAAGTTCGTATCAAAACAGTCGCGTGGGATACTCCACACGTACGTTGTCCACGAGTTATAAGATCGATGCTTCGAGATCGCTTTTTAAAAAAGTTTATTTTTCGAAAATACAAAACTCAAAACTGTACTTTTACAAAATTATTACAATGTTATTATGATGTTAACAGTACAAAGGCTTAAATCTGACTGACTGTAAAATGTGTTGAGAACAATAAAGTAAACTCTAGGTCTTCTAGGAAATTAGTAGCATCGTCGGCAGTATTCCTATCATATCAGCAGGAACGGCTGATATAACTCCTCCCCCCTGAGATTCAACTTCGGGGAAGAATTCTTCAAGGAAGTTGAATAGGATGAAGTTCGACTTCTGGTTGTTGAATACTTCTATTTCTGAGCTTCCTCCTCTTCAAAATGGTTTTCCAGAATGCGTAGACACCCAAGAGTAATATACATCCATATATTATCAGTGTCCAGGCACTGGGTATAAAAAATTCTGTAGGTTTTTTGAAGTTGGGTTTGTTGCTGATAATGCTTGACTTGATTTTACTTAACTCGTCCAGCTTAATTTTTTCTAGATGCAGACTGAAATTTGTTTCTGTGATGTCGCCTTTAGTGTCCAGGTTTAAGTCCGGGAATATTATAGGTTGGCCCGCGACAATCGTTTCGGGTTCATTTTTGATGATTTGGTGATTAATTTCGGCTTGACAGTTGATAGGAATAGAAAGTAGGTAAGTTCCCGTCAATCTTTTCATTTGCATTTCTTCGTGGCATTCCATTTTGATAACATCTGGTAGTGGCAGGATCAATACCCATTGATTAGTCCGTTGGATTCGTTCGATACTTGGCTGATTGATTATCAGTGGAGTTCGGGCACATGCAGGGGCGTTTCTTCCATTGAATAGTTCAAGTTCACAGGGTAATGGACCATTAATGTCTCGCAACATGGTCTTCTCGCAGAGAAACTTTTTAGGAGTAATTTCAGTACAAATGTCGCCGAAAAGTGCAAAGTGCAATTCATTTTTTACCAAATAAGGCTCCTTTGGAATGATAGTCTTAAATTGACCTTCAAAATATATCGGGATTGGAAAGAGACGATATAAGTTAAATGACTCATAGTATGAGATTGGGAATGATAAAACGAATGTAATTTTGTTGCCCACAGAATAACTGGAGATTTTGATTATTTTTTCAAAAGTTGGTATGTTATCTAGTAAAACTGGAATCGCAAATTTTTCCTGGCCTAATCTTGAGCTCAATAGTTTCAGTTCACCAAAAATTTCTTCGGTTGTAATAATGCTAGAGTGAATTGTTCCAAGACGTGCAAAAATTATTGAATTTTCAACGTCTTGTAATATTGACAGAGTTACTTCGTAGCTGTTCATAATTTGAGATACTGTGTCTACTATGAATTTATGCTGATCTGAATCGATTGTAGTACGATGAACAATTGCATATATGGTATTAATTTTATTATTCAGCAATTGTTCATTATGACAGATTTGCTGAACAGTTTTATTGAACTTATCAATAAGAGATACTGACAGTGCGTTATTCTGTGTGACACTGTTAGTCAATTCTCTTTGATTATTTTGAAGCTCTTGAATTAGATTTTCGAAACGTTCGCCATCATTGGCGTCAAGGTTTCCAGTTATTGATTTGAATATCGACCCAATGCCGTTTAATATGCCTCTTTTTCCTCGCTTTGTATGGGGAAATATATTATGTAACTTTTGTTCTACTTGTCGCTGAACAAATTTTAATGTTCTGAAATAATTGGACAAATATGTAGTGACATTTAAATTTGAAGAAATGGTTTCTGCTATACGTGAGGAGGAAATTGATAATTTTTCAATTTCAGAAATGATGGGATTCATATCATAATAATGAATGAGTGAAAAGTCATAGTCTTTCATTTTTGCTTCACCAATTTCCACGGGAAGTAGTCCTGGATTGTTGTCGAGGTTACGTATAGTTATGCTATCCTGAAGTCCAACCGTTACTTGCAGGAATCTGCAAATGAATAATACCTACATGTATGTATGTCGTACTTGGAGAGAAACATTTAGTTGCTAAATGAATATGGTTTGCGAAGGGGACGCTTCAAATTATCGATATGTACTTTATTGTGTTTATCAGTAGTAGCGGTCTTTTTACCAGGATCGACTGATGTTAGTGTACATGATTTTTGGAATTTATTTGCATTTTTCTGACGTATATTTTTCTTAACGAATGCTTTCTGACCTGGTTGAAATATTTTTGCACTATCTCGAGCTATGTTTGCCTTTTCAATTACTTTTTCTTTATTTTGAACAAGCGCCTCGTTGATTTTGGTATATAATAGCTTACTGCGTGCTTTGTGTTGTTCTACATAATCGTTCAACAAAATTTGGTCTAAGCTGATGTCAAATGTATCTTTTTCACTGAGATGACCATTTATGACATCGATGGGTTTTAATTTAGTCACAGAATGAACAGAGTTGTTGTATGCTAAGATTGCGTATATCATTTTCATTTGGACAGATGTTTTTTGAAAGCCTTGAGTGTTTAAAATTCGGAGTTGCTCAGATATTGTCGAATGAAATCTTTCGACTACGCCATTTGACTGGGGATGGTTCGGGGAACAGAAATGTATTTCGATTCCATGTAAACCTAATAACTCGGATATGACTGAGTTTTTAAACTCGGTGCCATTGTCAGTAATAACTTGTGTCGGGATTCCATGATGGGAAAAGTATCGGATAAGGTTGTCAGCTACTTCGGTACCTGTCATTGAATTGAGATGGTAAGCTTGAGCGTACTTTGAAAAACTATCGATAATGGTCAAAAATTTAGATTTTTCAAATGTGTATGTGTCCATGTGAATTATTTCAAATGGCTTCACAGCAGTGGGAGTGATATTCATTTGCGCTTTAACAGGGTGTCTCTCGTATTTGGCTTGTTGACAGATTTCGCAGTCATTTATGTATGACTGAACGGAACTTTTCAAATTTGGCCAATAGTACTTTTGTTTTAAGCGAGAATAGGTTTCATCGATCCCGCGATGATTTGATTTCCCTTCATGATAATTTTGTATTAAACTTTTAATTTCATCATTACTAGTGATGTCTAGAAGTTTTTCAAGACACCTTTTAAACTTGATAGAGGGCCATTTAAAATACTTTTGTAAAGCGCCTGAGAAGGGTTCGTATATGTCAGGATCTTCGAAATATATATAGTATGGGACATCGGGTACAATATATTCCTTGACAAAATTTACAACATCTGATTCAAGGTTGTTCCTTGAAATTTGCACTAATAGCCGCTGTTTTCTCTTGAATAAAATTATGATTTTCGGCTTGGCGGGAGAGTGCAGGACCGTTTTAATTACGATCTGATTTTGGCCAAAGTTCAATGGTTGGTCTGATATAGGAATTGTAACAACCGGGTGTTGATTATTAGAGTGCCGGGTTTCATCATCCTTGTCAAGTTCGTCTTCATTAGTATTGGTTTTGTCAATAACAAAAGGAAGTTCGTGGTAGTCAGTTTGTTCTGTTTCATTGATTATATCTTTGTCAGTATTTGTATTGTCAACGGTAGGAAGTTCCTGATAGTCAGGTTGATCTGTTTCATTGTCCAAGTTGACAATCATTGAGATATCGTCTAGTTCAGGGTTTAAATTGGGGTAGCTAATATCTTGAATTATCAGTGGTGAATTTGGATTAGCTTGTGTCGTGGGAGGTGTGTTTAAATTTTGATCTACAAAGGTAATTCTTTGATTCTGATAGTTGGAGGCTTCTCCAAGGAAGTCATCGAGTTGTTCCCAAAAATCGTTAGTTTCCTTAGTATGAATTTCGATTCTAGAAAGAGCGTCAGCATTTGTATTGAGTTTGCCTTTTTTATAGATGATTTTGAAGTTATATTCGTCAAGTTTCATTTTCC